TCGAATTCTTCTTGAAGGAATATCATCACTAAACATGTCCTCTGCCACAGGATTAGGTTCTACAGACTTCAGAAGAATTCTTCTATTTCTCCTATATTCACCACCATCATCAGTCTGAACACGATACGATCTCGGTGTTCTTCTTCACAAGTGACAACACCTGGTTTCCATGAACCTTTCATTCTTACTCTAATTCTATCTCCTTCGTGTAATTAGTAAGGGATTTTGACTGACGATCATAATAGAATTTCTGTTTCTGCTGCTTGAGATTCAATTTCTCTTTACTTCAACAGGATCTGGAACAAAGGGCTTCAACTTACAAGAAATTAAAGAACAACAAAGAGCGACGAAGAACTAAGAACATTATAGATCGATATTATGGACCACAACATCCTACTGTACAAGTTATATGAAATGAAGGTACCAGCGACAATTACAAACTGGATTAGAAGTTTCCTTTTCGAACGCAAACAACGCGTCAAGATAGCTAACTGTGTATCAAATTGGCAAACCTTAAACGGAGGTGTGCCACAAGGAACAGTTCTTGGGCCAATACTTTTTCTCGTTATGATAAACGACCTTCTCACAGACTGGAATAACAGATGGAAATACGTCGACGATAGTACTATCACTGAAAGTATTACACCGGAGACCAACAGCATTCTCCAAGAACTTGTGGATACTATTTACCATTGGACCATCGTTAATAATATGAAACTGAACATCAGTAAATGCAAAGAATTGATAATAGACTTTGCAAAAGAGAAACAGGAATTCCCACCTTAAATTATAAATGGCGTTGCTGTAGACCGTGTTTAATCAGCTCGGGTTCTGGGACTAATTGTTCAGGATAATATGAATTGGAACGAACACGTAAACAATGTTGTCAAAAAAGCAGGAAAAAGACTCTACATGCTGAGAGTGCTGAAACGATCAAACGCGGATACGAACACGTTAATCACTGTGTACACCACTATTATTAGGCCTGTCCTTGAATACGCCTGCCAAGTCTGGCATTTCAACATCAAAGAGTATTTGAGCGAAAACATTGAAAAGATTCAACGACGTGCTTTGCGAATCTCGTTGCCTTTACTAAAAGCAAGGAGAGAAACATTATGTGAACAATTTTTTAAAAAGAATGAGAATAACGATAAACTAAGCGAACTATTGCATCATAAAGCAAACAGCAGACTACGATATGCGACCAAGATGCAAGTATAACAATTACCTATGTAGAACTGAACGTTTTAGGAAATCGTTTTTTCCTCAAATTATTTCCAAAGAAAACAGTAAATAACTGAGTTGAAGTATAGGCCTATTGTTTTTTTCTACTTTTGAACTCTTAATATTCTTAATAATGTAATATAACGATAACTTAATACTTTTTAACAGTAGATACAAATTTTGTAAATTTCTGATGTAATTTAACCAATGCAAACATCTCCATATCCCCTAGATCAATGGTATTGGTATGTAGACGACAGTGAAATGAAGTGCAAGGAAGATCAATCCGAACAGATACTCGAACACCTGAATAGCATTAAACCAGACGTCATTGTATTCACGAAAGAAAATCAAGTAGAAGATACGTTGCCAGGACTGGATTTGAAACAAAAAGTGGACATGAAAACAAAACAAGTCGAGTGTATGGTTCAATAGAGACCTTAAGATTGACGTTTACGGCAAACGTCAAACCGCTAGCGAAATTTTTGATTTTACAACTCTATTATAATAGCTTTTACAGCAGTTTTGAAATACGTTAAACAATTATTAAACTTATGCTCTTTAGCAATGATTTAAGAAAGCAAATTAACCACTAGTCATGTATTCACCAAAGCAGTAAATTAAGATCTGGCGTTTGAAGTTGACGTTTGGCGTATAAATTTCATGCTTGAACTGCTACGAGAGCTTGTAGTCGTTAAAGCATGAAATTTATACGCCAAACGTAAACTTCAAACGACAAATCTTAATTTACTGCTTTGGTGAATACATGACTAGTGGTTAATTTGCTTTTTTAAATCATTGCTAAAGAGCACAAGTTTAATAAGTTTAACATATTTCAAAACTGGTGTAAAAGCTATTATAATAGAGTTGTGAAAATCAAAAACCTCGCTAGCAGTTTGACGTTTGCCGTAAACGTCAATCTTAAGGTGTCTATTATAAGAAGACACACACCAACATCAATGTGAAAGCGAAATCGAATCATCCTCCTTGTATGAAAAAAGGCATCATCAAAGGATTTGCAGACAGAGCGCGAGCGTTATGTGATGAGAAACACTTAGAGAGAGAACTAAAGAACGTAGAAGATGTGTTTGTGGCAAATGATTTCGAAAGACAGAAGGTTCGAGAATACATGCGAGAGGATAAACGCGAAAGCAATGAGTCGGAAGAGCAAGAGTATCGAGGAATGATAATTGTATCTTACGTCCAGGGCTTATCGGAACAACTGAAAAGATTAGCTTCCAAACATTCATTTCGGACGACATTTAAACCAGGAAATAAAATAAAGGAATTGAAGGCGAGAGCTCAACAACCACTTGGCGAAAAACAAAAATCTGTTGTTTACGAGATCCCATGCAAGTGCAAGAAAGCGGTGTATGTAGGAGAAACGTCGAGGTTGTTTAAGGCGAGAAAGAAGGAACACGAGAGCAAAGTAAGATTAACAAACGAAGATATGAGAAATGGACGAATAGCGGTGGCAGAAGAACGAATGGGGAAAGAAGACGGAGGTTTAGCAAGGCACAGTATAGAGTGTACGGAAGAAATAGGTATAGAGTGTACGGAAGAAATAGACTGGGAGAACACGCGAATATTGAGAAATGAGTATAGATTAAGACAGCGGAAAGTTATAGAAGGAATTGAGTCTCTTAGGGTAAGGCATAACAAAAAGAAAGTTTTAAACAGTTTTGAATCATTGACGACTTGGAGACCAATATTAAGCAAATACTTTATTAAGGAAAACGAGCGCGCGCGTGCGCGCACGCAGTTTAATTTGAATTAGCTTGCGTAAGATGAACGTTTAAAAGTTGTACACGTCAAATGTAAGAACAATTTGTTAGCCTGAGGACGGATAGTAAACTATCAGAAACGTAGCTATTAATAAAAGTATTATCAAAAACCTCTTGTGTGATCCTTGATTTAAATTAAAAACACAAAGTTATTTAATTTAACATATTGGTTATAAAATCAGTTTTAAATAAATTATAAATTATAAATTATAATCACTTAAAAGTTTTTGGCAACGACATTTTGTTGATATACTGCAGTCATTAGCGTACTGCACTCAGTGAGCTGCAAGAAGTAAAGTAAGAAAGATCGATCAGCAAGAAATATTACATATACCTTGGTAAGTTTGAATTGTTTGAAATTATTTTTGATTGAAATTCAGTTAATTCACAAAACATTTTACAGTTTCTCAATATTGAATGAATACCGGAAATAGTTTATTTTATATTTTCAAACATAATTACTAAAGGAGAATCTGTACTAACGACTTGCACTGATCTGTCACCTGTTTAATGGAAATAGATTTCGCCGATTTTAATGCATTCTTTAGCAATGTTTCAATGCTAACTTAGCTATACAGTTCTAATTATGTACATCCTACAAATTATGTATAGTGGAAGACGATGTCTTTACTCATCCTCAGATAATCAGCGAAACAATTAAATATGGTGATAAACAGGTAAAAGTCACTGAATCGAGTTGTTCTTTTCGTGTTTTCGACGTTATATGTTACGCCTGCTGTTGACTTTTGCAGGTTAACCCTTCAAGTGGCAATGCGCCCTAATGCGCTCTACTTTATTATTTTTCTGTCAGTGGCAAGTTTCCAAAGGCAATTCAAATATTTTTTTTATTATTTTAGATTACTTAGGTTTTAGAACCTCATGATTATATAGTTTTAACATTGACGGATGAATCACGCTTTGAAAAAATATTAAAATTAACAAATATTCTTGCTAAATGATTTTATGCCTTGTATATACTTTCGATCATCAATACGACAATAGGCAATTCTAGCGTTTAGTTTATACGTGCAGGGGATGATGGGAAGTAAAGTATCATATTGCTGATTATGCTGAAAAAATGGTGGCCGTGTAAACACGGAGTGATAGCTTACACTCGTAAATATTGAAATATTTCGGTTGTTTCGGCAGTTTTTATTGAAATCTTCAGCATAATCGGCAATATGATACCTTACTTCCCATCATCCCCTGCACGCATAAACTAAAAGCTGGAATTGCCTATTGTGTATCTAATTCTACTAACTTATTAATAAAAATAATTATGTTTAAATTTAATTTCCTTTTGAGTTTTGCATTATACTTTTAGCATGTTAATTAATGATTAAGATTCTAAACGTACAATTCAAACTTATCAAGGTATTTGTAATATTCTTGCTAATCGACTTTCCCTACTGTAGGCTAATACCCTAAAATTGCTGCTCACTGAGTGCGTGTACGAAACGACTGCAGTAATCAACAAAAATATAATGTCGTTGCAAAACACTTAAGTCACTGATATCGTGTTGTTCTTTTCGATCGTGTTTTCGATGCATGTAAGATGAATATCACCACCCTATTTAAATGTTACGCCTGCTGTTAACTTTTGCAGGTTAACCCTGTAAGTCCAATGCACCCTGCATGGTGCGCTCCATGCACTTTATTATTTCACTCTGTGTAACTCCATGTTTATCAAGGAAGAATTCTGCCACTCAATGAAACAATCGAACTATCTGCCCATTCATCCCGTGAGCGCTTAATTTATACTTTACTATTTTACTCTGTCTAACGCCAGACGATCTTTCTTGTCAAGAGCGCTGCGCCGAAATCGCAAGACCGCAGGTTCGATTCCTGCATGCCAGAGGGCCTGTAGTTGCAACTGCTCCTGGTTATAGAGTAGGTTTAATAAATGTATATAAATTTTACCCTCGAAATATTCATCTACAAGACCCTTACATTTAATTTATCTCTAAAAAATTATATAATAAAGTTATACTTAGCCCGCGTGCAGGCCCAAGGGAACTGATAGTGGGCCTGCAAGCAAGGCCCGGTATTTTGTACTTTCCGCGTTCGCCCATGAACGCGGCATTCTGATTGGCTGTTTGCTGTTGGATTCTATAATTAGGTCAGTGATTCGTCACAAAGGCTCTCGATAAGCTTAAAATTCGAAAATTGATCACATTTTTCGATTATAAATGGAACAAGAACAGACTGTTTATTGTTTACTTGAAGGAAGAGATGTTTTTGCCGTTATGCCAATGGGGATTGCTTGTCGTGAGGTGTTGGAATAGCAACATTACGACTGGGGTAAACTATAGTAACCTTTACTTGAGTTTCATTAATTTCAAACAGACTTGATACGTTAATATATGTTCCTAAAGAAAATTATCTTTTGGTTGATGTTGAGATGCAGTTGCAAGTAAGCCTATTCGAAACACTTTGCGATTTAGAAGGCTTCGCTGAGAGAGCGAAACAGACTAGACGGTATTAAATTGCCGTTTGAAACGAAGCGATCTAGACTCTGAACGCTCTCTTCTTTTGTAGAGTTCTTTACCAAATGAAATAACTGAAATAAATTTCGTACTTTCCGCCGCCAACAAGAATTGCACACACGATCTGATAAGTGAGGCAATTTATTTATAACAATGGCGACAACGAAGCACACATTATAAATGCTAATGTGGTCGCACGACTTCCCTCACGATTTGAAGTTTGAGACTGGTTTTCTGTTGAAATTCGTCCTATTAATTTGCCTGTTCCAATTTTAGTTGAAAATGAGCACTTGCAAATTTGGCAATTACTGACTGCGTTGCTTGCTTTTTTGGAGTTAAAACGCAGCCATTTACACATTGTTTATGTTCTGAATAAGCAGAGAAAACCCCGCAACATTTTAATGCGAGTTTGTTTGTTAATATTTGGGTGCTGCCATTGGTTCTTTTTTGACAATTGACGCGCGAAAGGGGCGTGTTATGAAAAGGGGCGTTTTACAAAATACCGGGCCTTACTTGCAGGCCCACTATCAGTTCCATTGGGCCTGCACGCGGGCTAAATTATACTTCATTTTAAAGTTTTTTGGGGAAATCCTATGCCAAGTTTCCAAAGAAAATTCAAATGTTTTTTTATTATTTTAGAATACTTTTTCGTATCTCATAACAAATATCCTTGCTAAACGGAATTTTACACCTCGCACTTTCAATGCATGGTTAATGTGAATCGCATTCTAGCTTATTTATTTACATTATATGTTTAAATTGAACTATATATACCTGGGTAATCGATCTTTCCTACTATAAATACTTGTTGCTGCTCACTGAGTGCATGCAGTATACGCTAACGACTGCAGTATATATCAACAAAAGTGATCTCGTTGCATGCAAAACACTTAATTAAATCACGGATGTCGTGTTGTTCTTTTCGTGTTTTCGATGTAAGATGAATATCACCACCCTATTAAAATGTTACGCCTGCTGCTAACTTTTGCAGGTTAACCCTTTAAGTGCCAATGTGCCCTGGTGTGCAATACATTATTATTTTACTCTGCCTAACGCCAAACGATCTTATACTTGCATCTTTATAAAGGAAGAATTCTGGCACTCAATGGTTTAATCGGACTATGTCTGCTCATTCATCCTGCGAGCGCTTATTAATTAAAGTGGCATCTTTCCCTGGTGCACCCGTATACTTTACTATTTTACTGTGACTTTTACTGCGCTGCAGCGCTGCAATCGCAGGGTCGATGCATGCATGTAGGTTCGATTCCGGCGGAGGGACTGTATAGTTGCAACTGCTCCTGGTTATATAGGTCTAATAAACGTATAAAATTTACACTCGAAATGTTCATATACAAAAGTCTTACGTTTAATTTATCTCTGTACAATATAACATAATTATACTTCATTTTAATTTTAATTTTTTTGGTTTCCAAAGACAATTCAAATATTTTTATCATTTTAGAATACTTTTCGCATCTCATAACAAATATTCATGCTAAACGGAATTTTTGCGTTTAGAGTTTAAGGTTTAAGGTTTGGAGTTTAAGGTTTGCTAAGGACAACCTTTTTTGAATTAGCTATATACAGTAATTATGTTTGCAAATCACTTTAAGTCACGCACGACGTGTTGTTCATTTCGTGTTTTCGATGTAAGATGAATATCACCACCCCATTTCAATGTTACGCTTGCTGCTAACGTTTGCAGATTAAGTGGCAAAAATAGCCTTGTGGGCCTGTCTTTATTACTTTACTCTGTCATGTAAGGGAACAGTCATAAACTAAGTGCTACCCCGGGGCGGAGGATATTGGGATGTGGTATGAAATTTTTTTCAGGGATCTGGATGGGGTATGAAATAAATTTATCACTTTAAATTAAAGAGGGCGTATGAAACAAAATTTGTTTGTTTCAATACAAAAATTGTGTTAATACAGTTTAATATTACGGCTCCGTTCATCGTCCAAATAATTTTTCATACATCACTGCCATCATTGTCTCATAAAAGATTTGACCGTTGCTCAAGCAGTCTCCCTTGCAGTTGCTCTTTGTGTTGTGATTTTATTCCTCTTCATGAGCTTGTGTGGAGGAGTACATGATGACACAAATATTATTCAAAGAATGGCTGTAAGAGAGACTATTGTACCGTATATTTAATACACAGTGTAATAATTTTTAACCCTATTTGTACATTGGGTGCGCACAATGAGTGCGCCCAAATAAATATTTATCTGTCATTCTTGAACAAATGAACCCATTCGCTTTTCTGAAAATTCAAAGTTATCCGGACGTTTGAAAACATTTGTCAAACAAGGTGTCTGGGCCAAAAATGGGAAAATGTGAGTTGGACACTATTTCGAAAGACATAAATAACATAATATATTTAGAGAACATATAAAAATGGATTATTACACATGATTTGCAAAGTAAAATATCCATAATATATTATATAAAATAGTAAAATATAGTATAATATATAATCTAGTATATTATAAAATACTTATATAACATAAAATTCTCATTTATAATATTTTTATATATACAAATACACATATTTCTTTCTACCTTCAAGGTTGAGCAAACACCAAACATTTAGGAACCATAATATATTGCAGAATATGAAACCAATTTCACAGCCAATTCAGTATAAATATTCTGTTTTCAAAACTATACTGCAGGCTCGTAGCCCCACCTGTGTTACACCTCATGTAACACATAGTATATTTGCCTGGTATAAAAACATGGTCGCCATTTCATATTTTTTCTACAAACTTTTCTTGATCGACTTCATTCAGTTCATTGTTTCTTTGGTTTATACTAAAGAAGTTATGGCACCGAAAAGAGCTAGAGTTTCAGCAGAATGCGCAATTGCAAATATTATGCAATTTATGGAACAATATGACAGCAATGACAGTATCACAGAGATGATGGTGAAATCACTCAATCAGTGCTGTTGAAAATTATTTGGATTGTTTATACGGGGAGACAGGTCAGTTTCAGTTGTATGTGTTTTCATATGGTACAGAAATTCCAGCTTGTAAAGAAAAGTGGTGGTGTTTATGGACATCTGAGTTATGCCATAACATAAAAGTATGTCTTTTGAATGTAAAAGACCCAAAAATATCACATCCAAAATTTTTTTTATCTCTTTACATAAAATAACCAAAATGGGTAAAATATTAGCAATATTCGCCATTTCTTGACAGGCGGTCATATTCAATGGGGCCAAAAAACGGCATTTTGGATTTAAATTTTACTTTTTGTTATTTTTAAGTTAAAGAAAGATAAAACTTACTAAAAATAAAACTTATAGGATAATGGCAAATAATTTTAATTTTTAACTTATAGGATAATGGCAAGAATTTTTGAGCCCTATCAGCACATCCCATGAAGGTCATATCAACATGAATAAACCCTGGTAAGCTTATCGTTTTATGATCGGGTATGAAAAATTGAGACCGTTATCTTGATGGGGTACCAAATATTATCCGACAATTTTGTGGGGGTATTAAATTTTTTTCACAAAATTAAAAATATCCTCCGCCCCGGGGTAGCACTTACTTTATGACCGCTCCCTAACGCCAAACGATCTTACTTGTTAATGAGATAGAGCTATATAGCTGCCAATCAATGGTTTAACCGGACTACTTGCCCATTTATCCTGCAAAACCTTATAATTTAATTGGCTGTTTGCCCTGCATGATTCGCCTTACTTTTTTATTTTACAGTCAAGTGTCAAAATATCTTACTTGTTTAAAGGACAATGGCAATAAATTTTTTTATTCCTGATATTGGTAAAACTGGACCCCCTGATTACGAATATGCCATTAGTTTTCATCAAAAGTGTTTTGTTCTCGAGTTATTTCACCGTAAATATTCAGTACGTCCGCCATCTTGGATCGATTTTCAAAAAAATTATCTTTTGGGTCACATGACCTGTGTGACGTCAAGAGCAGGGTAGAATCAAAACAACAAATATATTTTATTAGGCGCATATTGCGACTTCGTACTCTAGTGAGAAATTTGGCGCTTTTTGATTACTCGGATGGAAAATATCCACGATATCAAGTAGATAAAGTATTGCCTTATCAATTTGAACCTAAACTGGGCTTACAAACAAGCGATAGCGGTGACGAGAGCGACTCCGAAGAACAGAGTGAATCGTCTGACGAGGAAATCACGATGTGTAATGTGTTTGAGGTCGAAAATGCTTGGCGCATTGCACATTGGAGCCAAAAGATATTGAATTGTTTTGTTGCCACGATAAAGCGTTAGAATACGATGAATAAGATGCATGATTAAAGGAGGCTGAAACCCAAGGGGAGAAGTGCTCGACTGCCTTTACAACACTGTCAATACATGGAGAATTGAAAGCGAACATGCTTATCGGAAGGGCTATTAAATAGACGTTTGTCGCTATCTTGAAGATATTAAACTGGTCTCTGGATGACAAAGATTTGGACAATTTACACAAAATTTATAGACTAGTAGCTTCCAACGATGTTCGCGTTGGGTATTTCAGATTTTGGGGAATAAGAACAGAAGGCCACTTCACGGCATGCGTGTGTTCACACAATAATAAACAATTCCCATTATAGAGTAATTTTAAAACTAGGCAAGGAGATGCAAATAAATCACGACAGCTAGAAAGAGCATACTAAAATGAGTAAAATTGCAAAGTTTAGTTGCGAAATGTTGTAAAATGCGGAACATATAGCCTTGCAAAGTTCGCAAATTTTATATTACTTTTGTATTGCGTGCGGAAATTGCTAATTTTCGGCCCAAATGTGGTAGCAATTAACGCACGCAATACAAAAGTATACAAAATTTGCTATGTTTTCCGCATTTTACAACATTTCGCAACCAATCTTTGCAATGTTACCCATTTTAGTATGCTCTTTCTAGCTGTGGTGATTTATTTGCATCTCCTTGCCTAGTTTTAAAATTAGTCTATAATGGGAATTGTGTATTCGAGAGTGGTTTGGGGCTTTGAGATTGTTTGAATGTTCATTTATTCAAATTTGGCTAAATTTATACTCTTTTAATAATAACTCTATAGTATATATGTGTCGATTACATGAAGCATTTTCAAGCCTGGGGATAAACTAGTTTTATACTGTTGACAGCGTTGGAATTTGTTCAATAAAGTAGCCCTCGGCCTGGGTGCTCGAAACAGGTTTGAAATTTAATTTTAACCTTATTTTTTAACTGAGTCAAAATCCAAGGTTGAAGATCCTCTAATTCCTTCGATGTAATCAGCTTTATTATATAATGTGCAGCATGCAACCCCAATTTCCTACAACAAATGTTATTATAATTTGCAATTGTCCTATTATCTATTAAAGTGCAGTGGTGTATATATTAATGCTTTATTAAAATTAAGTTTATAAACAAATTTGTTCTCCTCATTATTTATATCACAAAAACATCAAAACGATTTTTGCACGCGAATTGCAAAGAATCAAAACATATTCTCAGTCATTTTATAGTACTTATTTATGCGATATTGTTCCTGTTGATGTGGTCATAGCCGTGATCACCAAGAACAGTAAATATAAAAGTCTACAAAGTGGGCGAGCATATTGTCATATTGACATAGTACCAGACTATGCCTATGGCCAATTAATCTAAGAGCTTTTACCGCCGAAATCGACGCGTTTATTTCAAAAACACTGCTGAAACACACAGTAGAGTAGTAGCGCTAAATTTTTACGCAGTTATACAAAAAAATTTGGAGTTTATCCGCACTTTTTGGTCAAAATCTTCGTAGAATGTGTTCGCACGCATACTATTTTATATTGACAATGTTTGTTTCCCCTGCTCTTGACGTCACAAATTTATTCTCACATAAATTAGCATACCAGGTTTTTTTCAAGATGGCGGACGACTGTCGAAAGTTTTATGATATTTCTGAACAACTAAACGCGATAGACAAGTGAAATTACGTAATTAAGTATTCCGTAGGTATGTTTAATAGATATCGAGAATAAAAAAATTTATTGCCATTGTCCTTTAAAGAAGAAAGCTTGTCGCTCAATGGCTTAAACAAACACAATAAAAATTCTGCATGGAAGAACGAAATGACAGAGATTGTGAAACTGCTACGGTTATAGTAGAAAATTGATTCATTCTTCACCCTCCTAAAAATTGTCGTCAAAATCCATCGCAGTTTCCTGCTTTGGAGTTCGATAATTTCATTATACATATATGTTAGCTATTTACCGGCGTTACTATTTTACTCTGTCTTACGCCAGACGATCCTTCTTGTCAAGAGCGCTGCGCCGCAATCGCAAGACCGCAGGTTCGATTTCTGCATGACAGAGGGCCTGTAGCAGGAACGCCGGAGCGATAAAATGGCATGAGCGGCAATGCGAGCATGAAGGGCAATCGGTAGAAAATTCGTAGCCACGCCCTTTTGATGAGATTTCGATGATTTCCAAATTTTAACTTATTAAATGATTATCCCTATGTACAAACGAAGGCAATTGGAAATTAGCTTTATCAATATGACGAATCGTCTACCAGTTAGTTTAGTTTGTTCCTGTAATCCGTATTTAGCAGATACAATCAAGCAAAATTACTTAATGCATACGTTTTACAATCGTTCGTAATAACGATTAACATTATGACACACGAACTATCATCAGGACACACGAACTATATATTATCATCATTATGACACACGAACTATCACCAGGCACCATAGTCCCCAGCTAGCCAGGCACTGGTCGACCTAACTCTGGTTGTAAAAGTAAATAGGTAGTGAAGTAAAGACATTAAGCCAAGCATAATAGATTTCCAATGATGCTTTACATTAAATATGCGATAAACGTTAAACACGGTTCTCTTTATTTCTCTTGCGGCCTCATTTCCGCATACGTTATCTCTTGAACTAATCGCAAACTCAACTATTATACCAATAATATTTCAAAAAGGGCACCTTTCCCCCCTTTCCCCCGTTAGGAAAGGGCAAGGGGGGGGGCGCTTGCCCCCCCCTCCGCGCCCCACCCTCTCAGACGTCCCTGGCCTGCATGTAGTTGCAACTGCTCCTGGTTACAGGTCTATAATAAATGTACCGGGTGTCCCCCAAAAAATTTGCGCTTTTTCATTTAAATTAATGTAAAATAAAAACTATAAAAGCTATTGCACTCAAATAAGTTTTATTTTTATTCAGAAAGGGCTAACTTCGATTTTGATATGTAACATTTGAATGTCCGTTCATATTGACTGGGCTATCGAATGATGTTTCAATCGAATAAGCACAGTTCACAGTGTTAAAAAATTGCATAAAATTGCCTATCAAATATTATTTGGATTAATTAAACTTGCTACATAGTTTTATTTCGGTCAAAAGAACTGTTGGAAATTGTTGGATAAACATTTATATTCATTCATCAGAGAAAGTATGTTCTCTTGCACGTATACATATTACACGGGAAACCATTAAAACCCGACCCAAACTCTTTGATGTTTTGTTAATCGAGGCATATTCGAAAGGCGAAGGCATTTTCGAAGACCAACTTAATTTATAATACGAATTCCCAAAGGGCGTGAAATATGCTTTCGAACGTTTTTAAATGTTTCATGCTTATTTCGCTTCCCAAGAAATACGAAAGTATAACTGACTAGGAAATTATTCGATATTAAAGTTAAGTTGAATTAAATTGAAATTGTTAATTTTTGTGAGAAATGGCAATTGTTTTCATATAAATTTGATCAGCCGTGTATCTCGATTTTTACTTATTTTTAAAGCGTGCGCAAAATTCAAACATTTGTATCTCACGTATAATATTATATGGAATTGTTAGGGCTATATATCAAATCTAAGTTATCATTTCTTCAATGCAATAAATCTTATATGAGTTGCAGGTTGACTAATCTTGTACTGTAAGTGGCAAAACGCCCCATGGGGCGCTTTTCTTTATTATTTTACTCTGTGTAATGCCAAACGATGTTACTTATTAATGGGACAGTGCTGCAGCAACTCAAAGGTTTTATCGGACTATATACCTGCCCATTCATCCTGCAAGCCCTTAATCTAACTGGCATTGTGCCCTGATGCGCCTTACTTTATTATTTTACCTTCAAGTGTCAAATTATCTTGCTTGTTTAAAAAAGAAACCTGGCGCCAAATGGCTTAGACATGCAAACGCAATAAAAATTCTGCATTGAAGAAAAAAAGGACAGAGATTGTAAAAGGCTGTCGTTAGTAGAAATTAATTAAATTGATTCCTCCTCGTCAAAATCCATCGCAGTTTCCTCTCTTGGAGTTCGATAATTTCAACATACATATGCTTGTATATATATGTTAGCTATTTACCGGCTGCGCTGTTCGGATGAGAAAAACTGCGCCCAAAGTCATTAAAATCTTATAGTGTCGCATGCATGGGAATTAATTTGATATCAGTCTATTTGTGTATTAGTTAAATCGAGGCTGATAAAAATTGAAAAGTAGAAACTTGAAACATAAGCACGAATACGAAAACTCGACAAAATTGGCAAGAAACAAACAAAAAGACGCATCCTTTCAGTAAAAATGAACGCCTTTTTCATGAAAATATAAGAATGAACAGTTTCGGTCTGGCGTTTCGGCTTTGACAAATTTAGTTGCTTCTGACAACGACAGGTTCAACCTTTATATAACTGATTTCATTCAGATAACAGATTTCCGTTCAACAGGTAACGGATCCGCAATCTTGTTGGAGATCCTCCTTGGGAGAATTCAAAATCCTCTAGCAAATTCCTATGAAGATAATATTTTTTATTAATCAGCTTAGATGCATCACAAATTTTTGCTAAACGGAGTTTTGCGTCTCCTATTTCATCCACGAGCCAACGGCGCCAACGGCGCCATCCCGGGCGTATAAGCCTTCAAACTATTCAAGTCATGAAAGTAATCAAACTGTTCCATCTGGAAGTAGGTGATTGTAACTTCAGAATTCCAACACAAGCTAAATTAGAATATTAATCATTGTCCCAAGCGACAATGATTAAATAGCGGGACAAAGGCGATATCATGTAACAAAAAACGACGGAGATCAGTGACAAAAAACGATATCATGCAGAGACATTAAATATCGCTTGTTTGTCACCGCCCTGGTTTCCAAATTTGGTTCGCCTTATTCGACGACTTTTGTGAACAATGTTAGAAACTGATCGACTTTAATCGTAACCGTATTTCATTGTAGTTTTAATGAGAAGTATACAGGACGTATAAAACCTGCTAGCGAAGCATAAAAAAAAGAACAAAAGCATGCTTCCCTATCACGTGACTTAATCTAACACTAAGTGAGTCATTATACGTTACATGAAGTATGCAGTTCAACACTCCCACTTAATGACTACACTATGTAAGTTCATTATGTCATTAAACCTATAAACTAAAAAATGTCAACTCAAATGTATCTGAATGTCATTTGATCATACAATGTCTTTTACTCCCATCATGTCTCTAAACCTTTCAAAAGATACCTTTGGTAAAGCTTTATTATTATTATTATTATTATATTTATTTGATTTTGCCCAATAATATTTATTTATTTACATGAAAATTCTAATATTAAGGAAGAAGAGGGCTAGGAGTCTATTTGAAACCATTTGGCTTTTTTACTTAGACCCCTAGAAATATATTTACAATTGTTTTTTAATTAATTAAGTAAACCAGTTCAAAATCAAATTATTACAGTAGTCAATTTTGCGAATATATACGGTATATTATAATAATACAATTACAATTACAATTTGATATTTATAGTAATCAATAATCATAGAAATAAGCGTGTGGTGATTTGTTGTGCCCTATAGTTTGATAGAATTTATAAACTTCCGGTAGTTAATTAGATATGAAGAAAGTGTTTCTTTACCTCTCGTTTGAAGACGAAATGTGATTTTATTTGTTTGAAGTCTTTTGCAAGACAGTTCCAAATTTCGATTCCTTTGTTTGCTAGGGAATGTTTTGTGTAATTTGTTCTTTTGTAAGACTTGTGAAGGAGCGATGCATTTCTGGTATTGTGATGATGTATCTCGTTGTTGGATACAAAATAATTACAAAAAATTTCTGGTAAATTTTGTACTTTGTAGTATCTGAACATAAATAAACTAGTTAAATACTCATTTATTTTGTAGATGTTGAGTATCTTAAGTTTCTTAAATATCGGATCAGTGTGCTCAAAATAAGAACTAAACGTTATCAATCTTACAAGTTTCTTTTGAATGGTGAAAAGTTTTTGAATACGTGTCTTATACGTATTCCCCCAAATAAGGTTACCATAGATAAGATATGGATAGACTAACGCATAATAAATTAGTTTTAGAGAATTACTATTTGTGAAGTATCGGATTTTGGAAATTATTGCAGTAGCTTTGATAATCTTTTTTGAAACTAGTTCTATATGATATTTCCATGTCAAACATTCATCTATCACAATCCCAAGGAATGTTATACTTTTGACCTGTTTAATATTGTCATTATTCATTGAAAGTTTGATATCATGACTTGTTCTTTTGTTTGGAGATTTGAATAAAACAAATTTTGTTTTTTTCGTATTAATCGATAACTTATTAACATTAAGCCAATCTGTGATTTTTGTCAATCTGTGATTTTTGAGCTTTTGTCATTACATCAGCTAGCATGTTCTCAGTTCGACAATACTTAACACAAACTATATTACGATTGACTTGTTCTCTTATAAAATGAAAAGACACGTCAATATGTTTAGTGCGATTGTGAAATTTTGGATTCTTAGAGAGTTCAATCGCCCCTTGATTGTCCTCGAAGATTGTCGATGGAACATCTTGCTTCAAACCAATATCAGAAAGTAATCTTCTGAGCCAAACTGCTTCTTGACATGCAGTACTCAAGGCAATGTACTCTGCTTCTGTTGTTGATCTTGAAACGGATGCTTGCCTTTTACTGCACCAACTAATCGTGTTGTTCTGTATCTGGAACACATATCCAGATGTAGAACGTCGAGTTTCGACATCGCCTCCCCAGTCAGCATCAGCATAACCATACAATACAGGATTATTACCATGAGCAGTAAACGTGAGACCAGAATTAAGTGTCCCTTTAACATATCGTAGAACTCTTTTTACTCCCTGCCAATGACCTTTTCCAGGTCTAGCCATATACTTTGAAAGAATTCCAACTGCAGCGCAGCTAAGTCTGGACGTGTAGCAGTAGTTGCATACGTTAAACAACCTATTGCCATCTGATACTCTCGAACATCAATTGGTGTATCATTCTCTGATAATGATTCAAATTTCCTCCCTGGTTCCAATGGCGTTGAAACAGCGCTTTACACTCCTGCATTCCAAATCTCTTCAGTACTCCTTCCAAGTACTTTGGCCGGGTAATAGTAATTAGTGTCCTTGCTTCACGATTTCGCTTCACAGACATACCAAGAACATAATTTACTTCTCCCATATCTTCTACTTGGAATCTTTTAGCTAGTGCTTCTTTCTCTTTCTTCAGCATTTCTGTGTTCATCAACGTACAGAGCTAGTATAACAAAGTCAATCTTTCCATTCTTG